GGTGGTTTTACAGTATGCAGATGCGCCCTGGCAGGTGCTCACTGACTGACAGATTTGATCATTTTCATCTGTGCAGGTGTAGCACTGGAGTGTGAACACTAAAAAAACAAATCCATCAAAACTCAGCATTCAGACAGCTCACGGGTCTGCACACAAATCTCACATGAATGTACAGTATCTCAAAACACAATAAATTATCTGGTGCTTTACTGAAAAGATCCTGGACTCACCCTGTGTGGTGCACACCAGCAGGACCAGAACTGTGAGCAGGAGGACCTTCATGTTGTCGAATGATGGGGACGTACCTGCTCCGGCTCTTTTATAGCCTCACATACCAAGTCGGAACTGAGGTGTGCAGTTCCTCGTCCTCAATATTCCAGTTACAGTAATCTTCTAAACTTCCTTCAACTCTTGAATGTCCTGAGAGTCATTCAATCCTTGTTGGTAAAATAAATCTTTCCCTGATGTTCATCACCTGAATTCATGGGGTTAGCTTTGAGCTAGCAGCTGACACCATTAAATATTAAGAACTATTCAAATATTTCACTGGATGGGTTTCTATTTTACTAAATTTTGGTTCACACGTGCACAAAAAAAAAAAATCTGTGACAGTGTAATTTAATCTTTTAGTCAGACAGTAAACTTTAGCATTTGTTGCTGACTACACAATACTGGATGTGTGCTAAATCATTTTAGCTCAGGGATTTTGAAAACTTGGACTTTCAGTGTTTGTACAGAACTTAATTTAGTGACCGACCGGTTAGCAGCTCTGACACTTTTAATTCAACACAGCAACAAAATTACTGTAAAAACTTTTCAGACCCATTTGAAACACAGCAAATCACTGGGATTTCCCTTTCCCTCTCTTTTCCCACCAGATGCATGTTTTACTCTCCAGTTACAACCAATATATGCTTAAATGACAGTTTTATACTCAGATGTTCTTTTTCTTTGTTTGCTGTTTGCTCAGGGGTAATAATCCCTCTTTGGAGCACTGATTGGTGTAAGGAGCAGGTCAGCCCAAGGTGTTATTTTACTCATTGAATCTTGGACTTCCTTGTTCTGATTCACGAGTTTCTGGCTTTATTTTAAGGCTAATAGGATCTAACAGACTGTACTGAAGCAGGCTGTTTTACTCTTGGTCTAGTTCAGTTTCTGTCACTTGTTTGACTTGTTTTTATCTTGAAAATCTGCATATCTGGCACATTAAACATTAGACACAGTAATATAAGAACTTTAACAATTTTTTCCTTTTTAAAGCTTTATGATGCAGAATAATTTAACTAAAGTGATAAAGCAGATGAGATCAATGGAGAAGACTTAATCTGATCACAAACTTTTTCCCTACCATCTGCAACGATGCCGTGTTGCTCAGACTTTGAAGCAGATCGGACTTCAGATACTCAAATTAATCTTAAAATATAACATAAACAAAAAAGGATCCGTGGTTGTATAAATAAATATGAAGACTTATGGGGTATTTTTTGTGATGTTGACAAAATCTAACACAGAAAAACAATTAATTTATTTGTCTACATGACACATGAACCTTTAATCCAGGACTTTTTAAAGATTTCTTTGGACCATTTGGCCAAACCCCTTTCTGGAAAAAAAAAGCTGATGAAGTTTTTATTTATTTATTTATTTTGTCAACCCTGACAAACAAGATTTTCCAAAAGCTGATGCACTTGAAAAAAATGGGTTTCATTTTGAAAAAAAATAAAAATTAAAAAATTAAACTAGAATCAAACACAGAAGAACTATCAGTTTATCACACACTGGATGTAAACTTAACCATCATAACTAAAGCAATTTACAACTGATGAAGGATGAACACATGTATGATGAATGTTTTGTGCATTTAAAATTTTTTTTTTTTTACATTGTAAAGCTATTAAAACATGATTATATACTAAAAGGATAATAGTATAAAACAAACAAAAAAAGGTTTGTAGCTCAATCATCCAGGTAGATAACAAAAAAAGGTTAAATCATTTCATCTGGACCAGTTTCTTTAAGGGAGAAATGTTTTGTCTTCCATCCAGAAGACTTCATAGTATAAAACTTTAATTCTTTTCAAATATTAAGTCTTAAACTCACATCCGAACACGAAGCGGAGAACAACTGAAGGGGTCTTTCCCCCTCCGCTTTCCATCATGCGAGCTCAGCGAGCGGTGGAGAAGTCGTCAGATTTATTTCTTAAGCAGTCAGTCAAGACTGATACATATTTAAATAAAAGTTTTTTTAAATGTTTTTGTACGGTAAAGTATGTTTGTTTAATATGTGCAATATGTGTTTAAATACCAATATCTCACTTAGGCTCTGCAGAGGGTGGGGAGGGGGACAACGAGGGGGCGGGACTCTTCCCCCTTCCTTCCTCCTCCTCTTCATATGAACTCTGCTGAAATCAGGTCAAATTTATTTAGAAAGTACATTTAAAAACAGCAGTTAACAAAATTGTTTACCAGTAAAAATCAATGGTATGAATTTAATGAATATTTACCGCATTTTACCGGGACTATTTGACTTTTGGTCACATGACCTCGATAAGACTTCTGGGTAATATTTACCGGTAAATAATTTTAAAATTATTTCAGTTACGTTGGTCTTTGGCACTGTTCTGTCCAGTGATTATGCTTAGATAGTTACTGTGTTCATTTTGAAGGTGTAATGGTTGTAAGCAATGTTCCCTCTAATATTTCATGTGTCTCTAGGCAAACACACAAGCTCCAGGAGCACACTGATGACCACTGTGAGCAACAGCAATTGTGCACACTGTGGTCACATTAGTATCACACTTGTTCAAAATCTGGGATCATAGCATATTCCATGGCTTATTAAAATAATCAAATTATAGCAGCAATTTTCATTAGTTTACTTTTAATATAAGTGATTTGGCCCACTTCAAATGAAAAAGACAATATTCTTGTTGTTCATGAGATGTTATGTTAAATGTGAGAGTCCTGCCAAATAAATAAATAAATACATAAAACATCCATGGCTCTGGGCTGTCGCTTCCGATGGCTGAGGCTTGG